GATGTCGAGCTGGCTGTGCCTGTCATGGCCACACCCTCCCTGGCCATGCCCCCCCCCCAGCCCTCCAAGGTCAAACACAACCCTGATGCAATCATCAAATAAATCGAGTTTGACAACCATGTTCTAGAACAATAATCTCAATGCATGTTGAGGTTCTAGAAGGGTAAGATATATTACCAAGTGTTCTGACCCAGCCTTAGCAGAACCAAGAAACAGACTCCTTGTCCCGAAAAAACCCTCTTGATTTAACTACTGTGAATTTGTGGCATTCACACACACAGAAAAGTCCAGGAAATAATCCTTCCAAGGGTTAATTGCAATAACAGACCTTATCAGTCCTTGGATAATTGCCAGTCTGAGAGCTTCCAGTCATACAGCTATAAATTAATTCCTGGCAAGAAGACTCTGAGGCAGCAAATCTTCCAAAAGAAATACGAACTGTTGTCTCCTGCAACCACCACTCTCCTTTTGCTTCTATTTATTCCCCAGCCAGAGAGGGGCCACTCAGTGTCCATGTGCGCCTTTCTTCCTGAGTCAGCCCCTGTGCCTCAGTTGTTCTCCTCTCCTGACAGCTCTGCGCATACACGCATCTGAAACAGGCCCCAGCTGTTCTTCTTCCCCATTTATCTCCGACTCCGAAGGCAGCTGGGTAATGCCAGACGGCTCTGGCTCCTCTCTGTTTCCAACGCAGAGCATCCGTCAGCGCCTTCCCCAGACTCCAGGATGGCCCAAATTCCCCCCAACCTCCTCATCGTCCGAGTCTACCATCAGCTCCGCTGGCAGCTAGCGGGCCACGACACCAAGTCTTGAGCAAGAGACATTTCTCATGATGGACAAATCGCTAGAATATGAAACTTGAGATCCTTCATGCAATCATGTGTAGTTTCCAAAAGACCCCTTGTCCTATTCCCAGGAAATGTTTAAAGTTGCTCAACCAGAGATTTCAATTTCTCTTACAATGGAAGGCTTACATTCCAGGATTACGTGTACCATAAATCTTGTTGAACAAACAACACTTTGGAGTTTAAGTAAATGTGGAGTCTATTAGACACTTGGCCTTTTGTGCTCTGCTGAAATCTGGGGAACTTTGAGCCTTTCATCAAGAACGACTAGAAATTTTTGGCACTTGTCCAAATTTATATGGTCCTAAATGATCCCCACCCTATCAATTTTTGAGTCCAGGGTCAACATTTTGATTTGAAATAGCTCTCCAGAGTCTAGAGCTCAAGCATTGCCTTCCTCAATTCCAAAATCAACCAATGCAATAACTTCAGAAGTTATGGGTGCTCCATCGCGGAGGCTTTTAAAAAGAGACTGGTCAACCAACTATCTGAAATGGTAGAGGGTCTCCTGTTTGAGCCGGGGGTTGAACTAGAAGACCTCCGAGGCTCCTTCCCACTCTATTATTCTGTTCTAAAGGAATGCCGTGGATCAGTGGCTAAGACGCTGAGTTTGTCAATCAGAAAGGCCATCAGTTCAGTAGTTCGAATCCCTAGCGCCGCATAATGGAGTGAGCTCCCATTACTTGTCCCAGCTTCTGCCAACCTAGCAGTTTGAAAGCACATAAAAAATGCAAGTAGAAAAATAGGAAACACCTTTGGTGAGAAGGTAACAGCGTTCTGTGCGCCTTCGGCGTTTAGTCATGCCGGCCACTTGACCACGGAAACATATTCAGACAGCGCTAGTTCTTTGGCTTTAAAACAGAGATCAGCACTGCCCCCTAGAGTCGGGAACAACTAGTACATATGTGCGAGGTGAACCTTTACCTATGTTCTAAAACTGGGACATGGGGCCTTCTCCAAATAAAGCAGAAGTCAAACACACAACTGAGCAATGGACTCATAAACATTTGTGCCATATTATGAATACTATGAATTATCCCAGATCCTGGTGATTAGAAAGGCATGTATTTCTCTCTTTTCTGAGCCTTTAAGGGGGAAAAACTCTTTCCTGTCTTACGTACTTTGCTCTACTCAGAAAAAGAGAGGGGGAAATGGTGTTTCTAGACCTTATGATAGAAGCTGATTTCCTATATGCCTTTGTTTCTTTTAGGTAACGGTGATTCTGACTCCCTAAACGATGACTCTGATGAGACAGCTGTATCCGAGAGTGAGGTCCGTTTCCGTGTTTTGAAGGGGTCGAAGTAATCCTATTTTTTAACGTGACCCAACAAATGCACGCACGACAAAAGCGTGCCGACAAAACCACGCCGAGAAAACCACAAGGTCAATATAGCTCCCACAAAAGCGCGCCCACAAAAGCGCGCCCACAAAAGCGCGATTAGGGTTAAGGTAAGGGTTAGGGTTAGGGTTAGGTTCAGGGTTAGGGTTAGGTTTAGGGTTATTACATTGTTTTGGCGTTGTTTGTTGAAGGCGCGCTTTTGTCGGCGCGCTGTTGGCGGCGCACTGTTGTGGGCGTTATATTGACCTCGTGGTTTTCTCGCCGCGGTTTTGTCGCCGCGGTTTTGTCGTGCGCGCATTTGTCGGTGAACCATTTTTTAATGATGGGGTATGAAATCATCGAACGAGATTGGGAAATTGGCTCTCCTGGATTTTACAATTCCAAACGACCTTTCCTACTGGCATTGGGGGGGGGGGGGCTGAGAAGAGGACAGGTGGTCCTCGACTTACAATCATTCACTTAGTGACCCCTTGAAGTACAAGAGCACTCCCAAAGGTGCTTTCTCAAGAGGCAACTGGATTTTCTGGTTTTTCTTTGAAGTCATTTACATCCTTTTAGAGAGTCATTAAGGCCACTTGGACACAGATAAACCTCCACACGGCCTCAATGACTCTCTAAAAAGGATGCAAATGACTAGATGTCTGCAAGGAGTATAAATCCTTCCGTTCCCCACCATCCAGTCAGAGCTGAAGAAGCTTCTTGGATGAGAAGCGAAACGTCTTCAAAGAAAAAACCAGAAAGTCCAGTTGCCTCTTGAAAAAGCACCTTTGGGACAACCATGACCTGGATGACTGAGAGCCTCCACAGACATTTGCAATAGGACTATAAAAGGTAATTTATGTTTGTGTTTCACACCCACGACCACTGCAGAATCCCCACGGTCATGTCATCAAAATTCAGATGCTTGGCAACTGGCATGTACTTATGACGGTTGCATTGCCCCAGAGTTCTGTGATCCCCTTTTGCGGCCTTCTGACAAGCAAAATCAATGGGGAAGCCAGATTCACTTAACAACCATGTTACTAACTTAATATCTCCAGTGTTTTCGCTCAATAGCTGTGGCAAGAAAGGTCGTAAAATGGGGCAAAAGTCATTTAACAAACGTGTCAATTAGCAATGGACATTTTGGTTGTAAGTCAAGGACTACCAGTTATGTTGTTCCAGATCTTCTAGAGATTTTCCACTCCCTCACAATGGGTCTGAGAATTTTGTAATTGCTACCCGTCTCATTAGGTTTATTATTTAAGCCAGGTGTTCTGACCGAGGCTTCCCAAGAGCATGAAGCAAACTCGGGTTCCAACAAAAAACCCTTTTATTAATTGACTGTGAATTCTGCTCATTCAC